TATTAAGGGCAGATTTATCCTTTTACCTTTTAATATAAATATAACTTTTAGGGTGTTGACTGACACAAGGTGTTACACCCACCATTTGGTTGTGTTGTCTCTCTCTCTCTGTTTTTCGATTTGACTCTGACACATTTTGTGTTTTAGGTTAAGTTTGATTGGGCCATGATCCAACAACATAATGGATAGATGGCGGACTATGGAGTCGGGGTACATATCCAACCAAGTTTGTGTTAATAGAACTCTGTCAAGTCTTTCCAGAACTTTACAAAGACCATGCTTGCCATTTGTCCATGTGAAAGTTGGGCCTATATGTTCTAGTTCTATTAACCAAAATTGATTGATGAAGTTARACATATGTCTTTAGAGCTTGGGCCTTTGTCTTCTGAAGTTTTGGTGGTCCTCTGTCTTGTATACGTCATTCATATCACCTATTAGAACCCAAGGTACTTGGACTGGCTCAAGAAGTTTTGAGAGAGAGGCCCAAGTTCTTTATCTATATTGTCTTTGAGGATGACCATAATAAAAAAATGATTTGCCATTGTTTTCCTTGGGGAAGGTTCTCCACTTGAAGTCAAATGAACTCAATGTCTAGGACCACTATGGATGTGGTGTTCTGCTAGCAATAGAGTAGGCCACCTAAGAGACCTTTGGCTTTGTTACTGACATAGTGAGAAAAGTGAAGTTTCTTGGYAAGGGACTCAGATTGGGCTATGTTCATCTTTGTTTCACACAGGAACAGTAAATCTGGTTTCTCTTATTCACATAGTTGATACAAAGATCTTATTTTATTGAGGTGGTTTGCTCCCCTTATATTCCAAGAGAGAATCATATTAGCTATGTGAGAGAAACATAAACTAATATGGTATTGGAGGGAATGTAAAATATTAACAATTAAAACAAGGAATAAGATTGTACAAAATACCTGAGTGCATTGAAGTAACAGGAGTTGGTCCAGAGATATCCAAGAAGAAAACTAGTGTTGTGCTGGACTTGGATTCACATGCCGAGCATCTATATGTGTGAGTGGGTTATCCATTAACACATGGTTTGGGCTTTTGTAGCTGAACCATGGGTTAGTAAGGAGAAAACTCGAGTCCTACTTGTTAGAGTTTTGTCTTTGTTCTCCTTGAATGAGGTAGTGGAGTGTAGGCTCTGTTTGTGGGCCCTGAACCTCTAAGTCCTTTGAAAAATATTTGAGTATAAAAAAGGATGTCGATAGTGAACCCAAGTCATTATTGGAGAGCGTTACAAGGTTGGGGGTGACAAAAACAAGGTGAAAAGTTTAGGGATAGAGGAAAAGGAAAAACGAGTAGAGTCAGGCGGGGGACATGATAGGGGGAGTAGGAAAGTACTAAAGCTCAAGAAGAAGAAGGATCAGGGTTATCTGATGAAGGAATTACAGACTCTAGGTTGAATTCTTCATCAAAAGTTTGAAGCATCCCCTTTACATCACTTRTGTGTGTGTGTTTATGTATGTATGTATGTATGTATAACTATGCTACATATATACATAAAATAATAATTTTTTATTGGACTCAAAATTTTAGTTGGATCGGATGGGATTAAATTCATCTCATCCTAGAAGCTATATACATATATATTTAGATAACAAGTTTTATATTAATATATATATATATATATACAATTAAAAATAAATAAAAAATATAATTTATAAAAAATCATAGTTTTATAATTGACATGAGTTTGTCCTTGTCTTATGCCAAACAAATATTATTGCGCTTTAGGTGTGGGCCAAGCTGGGCTAGGCAACTTATAAAATATTATTGCACTTTGAGATTTTTTTTTTTTTATGTTTTTGGTTTATTAAGCTGCACAATGGGTTTGGGTTCAATATTAATAATTTGTTTCTAAAAATAGTTAAAACCCCCAAAACAATGCATGCAAGGATTGTGCTTAGTTTGGTTCAGTCTAAGTATAAATGTCATATTACTCTTAGGGGGTTGGGTCAAGTTTAGGATCAACTAAAGGCCATCTCGAAGTCTAAAATCTCGAGCTTAGGCTTAGATTAATTTAATTCTTACCTATTTATAAAAAAGAAGAAATTGATGAGTCGTCCAACAACCTGATTTTATATTTTCAATCCTACCCCTCTATGATTTTATATTTCCAATCCTATCCCTCCATGATTTTATATTTCCAATCCTATCCTCTCTTATAAAAATAATAATAGTAATTTCTGAAATTTAATACAAATAATTAATTTATTAATAAATTACTATTAATATTTATCAATAATTTCTAAAAATTTTAGTAATTGATTGTTAGTAAAAGATATCGAAATGATTACATTTCTAAAAATTATAATTATGATTTCAGATAATTATAAATTATTGATTAATTTCATTCAAAAATGAAAGATAGTTTGGTGTAGTTTTTTTGGAAAAAATTATTAATAAATTACTATTAATATTTATCAATAATTTCTAAAAATTTTAGTAATTGATTGTTGGTAAAAGATATTGAAATAATTACATTTCTAAAAATTATAATTATGATTTCAGATAATTATAAATTATTGATTAATTTCATTCAAAAATGAAAGAAAGTTTGGTGTAGTTTTTTTTGGAAATTATGGATAATTTATTGATTATTCAATAGATTACTGAAATTATTGAAAATTTATTGATTATTCAACCAATAAATAATTATTGAAAATTAATAATTGATTATTCAGAAAATTAGCGTAATTCTCATTGTTATATTTTCATTAAATTATTGATTAATTTTAATTGAAAATAACAGATAGCTTAGTGCAATTTTGGAATTTTATGACATTTTTTACTCCTTGGAATATTATGGAAAATTATTATAATTATTGAAAATTTATAATTATGTTATCATAATTTATAATTATTGAAATTTTTATTATTATCAATGTAATTATATTTATTACACTAAACTAATTGTTAGTGTAGATTAACTAATTCCTTTTTTCATAATCTCAAATAGTAATTCCCATTATCTAATAATTTTTGAAAAATTAATAATAGAAAAAAACTGTGAATCTTGATTTAAAATAATSGAAACTAATAGTAATGATTATTGTTACATAATTAACAATTTTCCATTTTGTATCAATTCCAATAATGTAACTATTAAATTACAAAAATTTTCATTATTTAATAATAGTAGTKACAACAGAATTATAAATTACAATAAAATATGTTATTTGAAATTACTGTAATTACAGTAATTTTGAAATACAGAAATTCCAATAATAATTATTAGTGTAATAATTGTAGTTCGTTTCAAAATAATTTTATTAAACTAATAAATATTATTGGAAATTTTATTGTAATAATTCAATTACAATAATTATTGTAATGAAAATTTTATTTCTAATTACAGATTTGTTTTTCATATTAACTTTATTACGGAAATAATTATCTTTGAAATTTTAGTGTAAATTATTATTTTAAGGAAATTTATAACAATAATTATTATTGGAATTTTATTGCTGACAATAATTACAGTAATAATTATCATTGGAATTTACATCTTCAGAAATTTATTAATATAATTTTATTATTAGTGTAATAATAATTATTAAGTTACATTAATTATTATGGTAAAATTTGTTATTTTCAAAATACTGTAATTACAGTAATTTTGAAATAACTGTAATTCCAATAATAATTATTATTGCAGTTAAATTAATTATTTTTTTCAAAATAATTATGACAATAATAATTATTAATGAAATTTGGCGTAGTAATTAAATAGAGTAATCATTATAATAAATATTTTATTGTAGTTACAATTTCTTAAAATTAATTTTATTACACAAACAATTAAATTGTGTTATTTTCCAGAAAAATTACTAGAAATCAATGAATATACAAAATTTTCAACAAATAATTTCTTTATAAATTTCATTTAAAATTAATTAAAAATTATAAAATTGAAAAATAAAGTCAACAATTATAGCTCTAGGAAAGAGCTGGTGGAGTTTGCAAATTGGCAAACAAAATATCATAATTTTGGAAAATTGTGGAGAAGAAAATAAAAAATATATTATTGTAATTTTGGAAAATTTCTTTAAAATCTAGTAAATAATTATTGGAATATTTTGGAAATTTGGGAAGTTTTATTACATTTGATAGATTTTGGAAAATTGTTTAAAAATTGTGTGATTTTCATTTTAAATTATTAAAGATAAATTAGTATTTTTTTGGTAAAGGAAAACGGTAATTTGAACCAATAATTACAAAAGTTATTTCTGTTATTAATATAAATTAGTATTATATTGGAAAATTTTAGAAAAGGAAATTATTAATTAACTTATATTGAAAAATAAAAGATAAATTAATTTAATTTTCTAAACAATATATTTAAAAAGAAAATAAATTATTTCATATATTTAAAAAATGAATAATTTAGTATATATACTTTTGGAAATTTACCAGCAGCCAACATTCAATATATCCTTTTGATTCTTTTTTACCAGCAAATTAGACATTGGGTTTTCGTGTGCATTGCACGGATCCCCTACTAGTATGATTGAAAATGTTAATCTATAAATTAATTTAATTATGGCTGCTACCTAACTTTATATATTTTCTTATATTTAAGTAACATTTAAAAAAATTATAACATTTAATCACTAATAAAGTAAAATAAATAAAACAAAACACAAAATACTAATATGGAAAAAATAATTATTTTATTAAGTAATTAGTATTTATTTATTATTTATGTTAAAAATTATTAATATAATTGATCAAAATTATTAAATTACTAAATTATTTTCTTAATAAATTGCTAAAATAAAGATTGATTATTTTAAAATAATTATTTTTAAATCCCGTGCATCGCACGGGTGCCCCGCTAGTTGTTTGATACACACCCTTCCTGAGTTCCTGTAAAAGGAAGAACGCTGCCACGTATGTAAGTTATGGTCGGTTCGGGCGGGTTACCCGAATTCGGTCAACGCCCGAGGGGGCTGCAACTCGAGTCCATCAGTCCATCAGGCTATCACTGATGAGTGAGTGGTCTGCGGCTCTGCCGTTTCCAGTCGTCCAACGAGGGTACTTTTCCTTGGTCTTTCCTGTTCCCATCTCTCTCCCCCCAGGCCAAGCCTCGTCTAGTTGTATTCTTGCTCGATCGCCATTAACGCTCTTTGTCAAGCTTCTCTGATTTTTTTTTTCTTCTTTCCTCGATTACCAGATATGTTCGCTTCTAGGTTATTTTCTCGGTTTTCGAGGAACAGTTTGACTCTCTGCAGAAGTGTCGTCAATTCTCCACAAGAGATACTCGTCCTGTCCACTTATTTTCACTCTTTTTGTGGATCCACTACTAAGGTAAGGACCGAGGAAACTCTGATTTTTGTTTAAAGGGGTTTGGGTTTATTGTGATTTTATGAGGTTCTGTTTGAAACCATGAAATTTTAACGTTATTTCGATTCATTTTGATAATATTGTGTTCTGGTTGGATTCCTGTCTTGTTTGCTACATGAGAGGCGGAAGGGTGTAGGGTTAAAGATTAAACTGTCACGTATTCTACCAAGGGAGTGTTTACTACTTTTATGTAGTATTGTGTTTACGGACTACGTCTTAGCTATATTTTTGGATTTAGATAAGTGATTTAAGCTGAAATGCAATGCTTTGGGTTGCTCTAGAGGGTGAGCTTCAAGGGTTTCGAATAGAAGTGTTCTCTATTACATTTCTTTCTGTTTTGAGAAAAAAGAATTTTCTTTTTCTTTCTCTTGTTTTTCTTTCCATGAATAGACACAGAACGACCAAAGGCAGGAACCACAACTCAAAGAAGTAGCAACTACTTAGGTAGCATCTCCTGAGTTCTGTATAAGTGCACCGTTCAATGTTTTTATGGAATGAGAATTGGGCATGTAATTGAACAGCTACACTAGATATTCAATAGAGAATCTACTTTCTGAACCGTCCTATTGATATTGGACAAATACCTTGGTGTTCTCTGATCCTTTCAAGGACACCAAGAAATTTGAGGCCTTCAAGGAGGGGAGGAGTCTGAGAAAGTTTAGATTTGCCATCACCAAAGTTTAGATTTGCATATAAATGGACTCAGGTTACCCATGAAGTTTGGCTTCATAGAACCTGGCACGGGGGGAGGGGGAATGGTTGTAATCAATTGAGAAGCTTGATTAATGTCCCTTGAACTTATCCCTTAGAATACCTGTAGGAAGAGAGACAAAATGCAATTGAAGTGATCCAAGTGATGTCTTAGATTTCAATTAATCTGGGCCATCCAAATAAATGAACTCAAGAATGGATCTCTTGAAAGTAATGAATTAATCATGACCATTCAAGTATGTACCGATATCTAAACTGATCTCAGCCATTCAATTAATGCATGGATTTTTCTAAAAATCAGGTTACATAAATGGCATATTAGAAAAGCATAAAATCTATTGTGAAAAAACCATCCAAATTATCAACTTAATTTTGGAATATGTTAGTTTATGTCTAAGATGTTAGTACATCACTTGGATGGATGATATTAATCCACTTATCCAGGAGGCCACTTTAGCGGCTTGGACTTTTGGGTTCATTTGGTGCATTATTTGGATGGCCTTGATTTGTTTAAACCTTGGTATGCTACTTGAATGGTTGAGATTAATTCATTGATATTAAGAAACCACTTTGATAGCCTGGACCATTAGATTGATTTGGTACTTCATTTGGATGGGTTAGATTAGATGGAATCTTGGTACATCATTTAGWTGGGCTAGATTAGATGAAGTTTTTACACCATTAGATAGATGTTCAGGGTTCATTAACTGATTTTGGAGGCCTTTTGGATGGTCCAGATCTTAGGTTTTACTTGACAACTTACTTTACATGGCTTAGATTTTTTAGATACTTTCATGCTTTTTTTTTGTATGGATGAGATTAATTAAAATCTTTATACATTACTTGGGATGGTTGAGATTAATTCATTGATCTTAAGAGACCATTTTGATGGATATTTGGGATGATTGGGTACAGCATTTGGATGGGCCAGATTAGATGAAATCTTGGTAAACTATTTGGATGGTTGAAATTAATTGACTAATCTTAGGGTGTTATTTTGATGTCTCAGATTTTAGATGTTATTTAGTACTTCATTTTATGTGGTTGTATTTTATAGATTTTTTAAAAAGCTACTTGTATGACTGGGATTGGTGGAAACCATGGCCACTCACACATATCAATAAGGAATGGGGCTTTACCTTGTATTTCTTATAAAATGCATGTTATTCTTCAACAAAAAATTGTAATTGCTCAGTCATTGTTAACAGCCATGGTGTGTGCAAAGTTTGGTGGTAAATTTGTCACAAAAAAAAAAGTTTAGGGTGCTAAGTGATAGACCCCCAAAACCATGGGGTTTGTGTGGAGTTTACCTTTTTATTTATTTTGATATACTTCACTTATTATCAATAGAAAATCTTGATGCATATATCATTGCTATTATTTTATACTGCATTTGTGTCTTGGGTACAATTTGTCTTTATGAGCAGGTGTACTTGACTGTTGCTTAGAGTTGGTTACTGTTGATAACATGCTTGTTAACAATTCTGTGGATTAGTAGGTTTTTGGCTACCGTGAACATTATTCTTGGGGTTTGTGTGCCCTCCATGGTGCTAGGTATCAAATTCATCATGATAGCAGGTCTATGGTTGAGGTTAGTATTATATTCATATTTTCTCATTTTGTTGCTATCCTATTAATTTTCTGTGGTGTTTATCCTTTTTGATGGATCACTTGGAATTTTATTAGATATAGAGAAAGAATGAAATATATAGAGAGCACACCCAACAGACTCAGGCAAGCACCTGCCACCTAATCCCCAGCTCCACTACATTTCAGCGTCCCTCAGCTGTCCCCAAAACAGTTGAATTCTGTTTACACCCATCTAGATGATTTATCAGTCATACAGTTGGGTGACTGATGTACCCAATCACAATGTCTTATTCTGCCCCTCCCCAAGTCTTGTATTTCCTTCATGATATTTTGATGTTGCCAGGTGCATCTACTATTGTTCATAACCACTCCATTACCACCCTTGAATCCCCTTCCGTTGTCAAATTATTGATATTTGTAATCTTGCCAATATTTAGATTTTAGATTCTGAAGTATAGCTGTCAAATCTGCTCTAACGGAGTCTCCATATCAAATCAACGGAAAGTAGGCGAATTGAGCCTGTTTACAGTCTTAGAATTCATGGAAGAAGAGAAGGAAAAAGAAACAATGTATTGGAAGTCAAAAGTAAGTGGGGCGGAAGCCCCTCTTATTATTTATATTGGTGCAACCATAATTATGGGCAAAAAGACTACTCTGCCCCTAATGCTAAACAGAACTAATGAACCTACATAAAAACACCCCCCTCAAATTGGGTCATAGATACCAATCATTCCCAACTTGTTACAAAGACCAATGTGGTGGGGGGTAGACACTCCCTTAATAAGGATATCAACTAACTGATTCAAAGAAGTAGCATAACGAAAACAAATATCACCAAATTCTAACTTCTCTCTGATGAAATACTTGTCCACTTCAATATATTTTGTCCTATCATGTAGAATTGGGTTGTGTGCTATGTTGATAGTCACCTTGTTATCACAATACAAGGTAATAAGGCCTGTCATTGGAAGTCCTAGTTCTAGGAGTGAGTTCTTTACTTTTAGTAATTCAATAACTCCATGTGCCATAGCATGGTGCCCAACTTTTAGCATTTGACTGAGCCACTACTGATTGCTTCTTACTTCTCCCAAGTTACTAGATTACCTCCTACAAAAGCATAGTAACCAGAGGTTGATCTCCAATCACCTATGGAGCTGGCCCAATCTGCATCTGTATAGGCTTCAAATCAGTGTTTTAAAAGTGCAAGGCGCAAGGCGAGGCACACACCTTTTTGAAGCAAGGTGCAAAAAAAATTGCTAAAAATTAAAAAAGTCAAAAAATTCAAAAATGCCAAAAATTTCAAAAATATGCCAAAAAATTCAAAAAAATGCAAAAAATATTAAACATAATATTAATAAAAAATATAAACTTCAATTTCAAAATAAATATTTTAAAAAAGTAAAAAACCTATTATCCAAAATTAAAAACATAAACATAACATGTAAAGCATATTCAAATAAGAATTTAAAAATAAAATCAAGGGTAAATTACATATAGGTACCCTATTCTTTGGGGGTAGTGATAGATAGGTGCCCTGAACTATCAATTGCAACACTTGAGTATCCTGAACTCTCAAAAATAGACACTTAGGTCCATCCGTTAGTATTCCGTCGGTTAAACATTACATAATGCCAAAAATACCCTTCTCATGTATTTCTAAGATCATTTTCAGGTAACCGAACGTCTCCCCACAATGACATTCTCACATGGACAACAAATAACATATTCAAAATTTCTGATGATGACATTCTCTAGTGATGATTTACTCCATAGAATGATCTCAATAATACATGAGAAGAGTATTTTTGACCTTATTTAACTGATGGAATACTAATGGATGTACCCAAGTGTCTATTTTTGAGAGTACAGGGTACTCAAGTGTTGCAATTGATAGTTCAAGGTACTTATCTGTCACTACCCCCAAAGTACAAGGTACCTATCTGTAATTTACCTTAAAACCAAACATACAAAACATTTTCAAGCATGTAAAACCTCACAATCTCTTTTTTTCCTCAATTGCATTACTTTAAGTAGCTAACGTGATGTAAAACATATTACATTCCTGATTCTACGAGCCGCCTTTGTGCCACACCCCTTGAGGCAAGACTAAACAAGTCCATGTTAGGGTCTTAAATTCTTAGTTCTCACACAAAAAATAATAATTTTATAATTTTAATTGCTTTTTAAGAAGATATTTTATTAGGATGAATGAATGAACAACATTACCAAATATGGGGTAATGAACAACATTACCCCATAATGATGCCATAAGCTTGGTCAATCAATCTATGAACTCACCTCACGATGTATGCATCATTTTTTTATCAATGAGATGTATGCATCATTGTTAAGATATTTTATGTAAACTCCAGGAGAAGGGTAATGCCCATCATCTAACCATTGGAGCAAATGCAGATAAGAAAGGGGTAAATAGGGAAAGTTTGTAAGAATACAATGGGTGGGGAGGTCAGCAAACTCTATGGCTGATGGTCTTGCAAAGCAAAGGGTAAATAGGGAAAGTTTATATTGGGCTCAATTGTAGACTGAATCTGTCTTCTATCTTTTGTCTTTATTCCTACTGGTAGGAGAGGACGCAGCTCGTGTCTCTCCAAAGGAAACTTGTAACTGTACTAGTTTTTATTAATGAAATTGATCCTTTTTAATTATCAGAAAAAAAAAACAACATTACCCCATAACTCATTAATAATCTTCCAATCCACCTCCTCCAACTAAGATTCTTGCAAGAGTAACACCTCAACCCTGAAGCTTCTCACAAAATTCGTGACCACCTCCCTTCTTTCTGGATCTCACAACCCTAAAGCAAATCCTCATGCTCAAGACTTTTCTTTCCTTATCTCTCTTTTTTTCTTTTTTTTTTTCAGTCTCCTTTCTCCCCTGATGCCCTTTTTCTTTTCCACACTCTTCTTTCCTTCTTCCTCCACTTCTTTAAAAGCTTCCCTTGCAAACTCTTCTCCCCCTAGAAAAAATAACCCCAGAATCTTACTGACCTTTATCCCCGTATCAACCACACTCTCAAAATCTTCAGTCTGTCTAATCTGGTGTGTTTCATCTATCATCACCTGCTCTTGTTCCTCTCCTTCCTTTTCTCCCTTGTCCTTTAAAGGCTTCATCCTATATTTCTTTCTCTGATACACTTAGTCCCTCCCTAACTCCTTATCCCCACTCTCTTCTCCTTATCCGCCCCTTCTTCCTCTCTTGAGAATTTTGTTGTGGAGATAAGCTGTTTTGTTCTTGACTACTAGTAAGAACTCTATTTGAGATAAAGACATTGTGAGTTCAAATACTAATGAAAACTAAAATCAAATTATTTCAGTTCAGATGGTTTTCAAGCATCGTGTAACTTTTTTTTTTTTTTGATAGGAAACGGTCAAGCATCGTGTAACTTAGCCATGGAACCAGGTTTCTATTGACCCTGAGTTTTCATGATAGATGTTTTACTGTAAGAGAATTGTGCAACTACATGTTTCCCTATCTTTTCTTTCAAACCAAACACATCCCAAGGAGCCCTTCTCTTTTTTATGTATAAGCTTTATGAAAGTAGCATTGTTGCCTTTGTTGATTTTTGCAGATTGATAGAAATCCTTAAACACCTTCAATAGGTCTGTTCTATGACATCCCAGCATTCATGATAAAAAGCCATGGTGAACTCATCAGGCATTTATTTTCTTCAGAGAGCAAGGCCCTTCCAACACCTCCAAGAAAGGTCCCCAACATCTATCTGAGGAGTAGAGATCTTTAAATTGAAGGACTATCTTGAAAAGCCCTTCCCTACCTTGAAAGGCCTCAAACAGATTTTTCTGGCATTTATGCTTGCCCATTTTACATCTCTCTTTTACACAATTCCTTGGTACTAATAACAAATGAAATAGATTGTGAATAATGAGATTGAAAAAGGGGTCTTCAACAGTTCAATAACCCTTGAAATTTCATTTCTACCCAGATTATATTCCTCTCATTTATCCATCATCTGCCATGGGAGATCTAAATTCTACTATGATAGACTGTAAAATAAGTTTAAAATGCTATAGTCATGTATATTGATAAAAAAAATAGTCATGTATGTACTTAAAGTGCAGGAGGGTATGCCATGTGATAGATTTTTAAAGATAGTAGAGGTTGCATGTAAGGTGCATGACATTGCCATGTGATAAATTTTTAAAGATAAAATTCTATGGTCATGGCTACATGTAAGGTGGAGAACATTCCATGTGATGGGCTTTTTTGGGGAGGTGAGGAATTTGCTATGGAGGCCTTTGAGGAGTTCGAGAGAAAGAGGAAGAGAGTTTGAAGAAAGTAGTAATTGGTGAAGGAAGAAAGAAGTAAGTGGGATGAGGATGTTGATAAGCTTGATGGAGTGTTCGAGGGTAGGGAGATGGTCTCGGGGTTCTGCAATTCAAGGAGATGGATGAAGGTGTCCGGAAGTGTGCTTTTTGGTTTTTGTGTTGTTTGGCTGTATTCTGGTGTCATAGGTTCATGTTTGTGTCTGTAGCTTTCTCTTGGGTGATATCTTATCACCTTTCTCTTGTATTCTCTTTTTCTTTTAATGAATTTATCTTTATTCTTCAAAAAAAATGTTTAAGCTCTGTTCTGCTCCAGCTAATCTCCATTACCACTGTTGTTTGCGTTCTGCTTGTATGGACTGAATCCCTGGGGTACTTGTGTTTCTTCATTGATCACCTATAGCAATTTGTTTCATGTGGATGTACAAAACTAATGCTTAGTGACCTAGTCTTCTTAATATCATCATTGAGGCAAAAAGCCTCCTTGAATTTGATTCCTTCACTTTCCTTGTCAAGCTGAATGCTTCCCAAATTTCCATAAGTGCTTGGGCTGCTAATGCTATGCCACTAACATCAAATATGAAATTTCCAACAATATATTATCAGTTCACCAGGCTTCCTTAGTGGGATATCTTATTTCTGCTTGTGTGTCTTATTTTCTCTCATCTTTAGTCATCCTATTGAGATACACGATTTGACATTTCCCAGGAGCAGTTGGACCCATTTTCCCTTGTTGCTGATGAACTGTCAATTCTTGCAAATAGGTTGCGGACAATGGTGGTTGCTGAGGTATTGAATCTTCCATCTTTCTACAACCTCATGATAAAGTTGTGGACTTCTTTTCATGCATATCTGCTTGGCTGGGGAAGAAGAGATTATAATGTGTATAAAATATCATGGACTTACATCTCCTGCAGGTCCCTAAGCTTGCCTCAGCTGCTGAATATTTCTTCAAGATGGGGGTAGAAGGAAAGAGATTCCGTCCCACGGTAAGATCTTATAGTTACAGATTTTGAGGTTTATGACCTGATTGCAGAGGGTTCTTTATCTATCAGTTTGTATTTCATTGCATTCTTGATGGAATGTGATCTTATTGCTTATCTTTGACTGTTCCTCATTCTTGGGTTGAGAAAAATAAATAGGTAAGTAGAAAGAATTAATTATATTATTGATCATATTAATTTGATTCTCTTATCCTCTTGTTTTACTGGGAGAAGGGGGGTTGTACTGCTTTCTTTATCATTTGATAAAACAATTTGATCTTGCTGCTGATCCAAAATTACAAAAAAAAGAAAAGAATGATTAAAATTACCTGTTGCTTGAATTGTTTAGAGATGGACACTAATGGAGAACTAAGGGAGAGTGTAAGAACTAAGAAGAAATGAAGAGATGATAGGTTTCTATAAATTTCTGGTATTTAGCTATTCTACCCTATACTTCTATTTGAATAATGCCTTTTAGGTGAAAGATAATGCTAATGCAATTCAGATTTTGAAAGAGGAAATAGCTACTCCACATATAAAGTGGATATTATCTCGATGATCTTGCAACTTTCCTGAAGCAGGTGAATGAGTATTATCATGGATAACTTGCCAAGTGAATTTTGATAGAGTTGCTCTCAGGTTTTAGTAAAGGGGTCTGCTAATTGATGCTTTAGTCTTAAGTATGGTTTGTACTTTGTAGATCTCCACCTTGGAATCTTCTATTGGTTTAAATGGCAATTAGCATTTGTCCTTGTTCTCTAATAAGACACTACAATAGCTGAAACTGGACAGCCACCTGATTGTTGTACCAAAGTTATGTGAGAAAATTAAGAGTTTGATGTAGCTCAATTATGAAATGCTTTAACCATGCCAACTCATTGACAGCATCTCCAGTAGCATGATGCTCAGCTTCTACACTTTTCAGGTAAACAAATTACTTCAAACAAAAACACAACAGCTTGATGCTGCTTCCTACTATAAAATTTTCTTATCTGCATTTGCTCCAATGGTTAGATGATGGGCATTACCCTTCTCCTGGAGTTTACATAAAATATCTTAACAATGATGCATACATCTTATTGATGAAAAAATGATGCATACATCTTGAGGTGAGTTCATAGATTGATTGACCAAGCTTATGGCATCATTTTGCCTGTATGATTGCAACCTATCAACTCTGGTAATTTGGTAAAGTATGATGCTTGAAAACGTCCCACATACCTGTGAGGCTGTGACCTGTACTGGCATGATGGGAATAACAATTCTTGCACACGTGTTGCTTCTATATTTTTAACATAATATTTATTTTTGATTTATACTGTATAATTGCATTTTTTCATCAATGTTCTTATTTAACCAACAARATTTTAAATGCCTTACTCTAAAAGGAGTTTTTACAAGTATCATTTGGTTTTGCATGGCAAAACGATCAGACATAGTAAATAGCTACAAAATCTGAATCAAGACATTTTATGTACATATTATTTATGTACCTATTTGCATATTTTGAGAAATGAACCATTGTACTATTTCTCAGTCTCTGAATCCATATCTATATCATGGCATCTCAGCTAATAGTTACTCTGATAAGTAATTGTCATGAAGGTTGGTTGCCCCTTTGAAATGCCAGTCAGTTTACTATCCTCTCATGCTCTTATCACCCTCCTTTAGAATTTACACACACATAACTGCACATATCTGTGCATGTGCTTGCACGTGTTATGTGTTTTATTGAAATGATAACCTTGGAGGGGAATGGGTTGGTTTGGGGTTGAGAAGACCTTTAAGAGATAATGAACCATGTGAGTTGATCCCTTTGCTTAATCTACTTCAAGGTGTAATTTATCTCTTTTGGGTAATGATGAGAGGGTGTGGGCTCCTACTGTTGAGGGCACCTTCACTTGTGCTTCTATTTGTGAACCTTTCTACCCATTATCTGAGGAACACTTTTTTCTGACTAAACAGTTGTGGTATGGACCAAGTTCCCTAAAGTCAAGACTTTCTGTTAAGATGTTGCCAATCAAATCATAAACACCTACTATAGACTCCAAAGTAAGTGGAAATGCTGGTCTCTCTCACCTTGTGTGCACCTCCTATGCTTGACGAGTGGGAAAACACCAATCACCTATTATTGCACTGTTTCTATGCCTCTAGAATGTGGCAGCACTTTTTCTCTGGTTGAAAGAGTTTGGGAGGCACCAACTGAAGTTGTGGACTTGCATAAGATGGATGTGATAAGTTGCTTTATGCCTTTACACAGAGGCAAAAGATCTTGTGGCAATGTATTCGGGGGGCAGTTCTATGGGGACTTTGGAGTGAAAGAAATGCTAGGATATTTGAGGAGAGGTACAAGCAACTGGAGGAAGTCATTGAACTTACCCTGATAAGGGCTGTACTTGGGAGTGGCAACTATTGCTGGCTTTCATATTAGCAAACAGAAAAGAGTGGTTCAGTGGGCTCCTCCAGAAGCAGGGTGTTTAAGTTCAACTTTGATGGGTGCTGCCTTGGAAATCTGGATCTGTTTGGTGTGGGGGGTTTTGTAAGGGATCATAGTGGCAACATAATTCTTAGTTTCTCAGGCCTAGTTGGGCAGGGCAGTTCTATAAGGGCTGAAATGTTGGCCCTAATCCAAGGCTTAAAACTAATGCTGTCACAGGGGTTCAGGAATGTAGTAGTGGAAGGAGACTGTCAAACTATTATATGCTAGATGAGGGCACATGATCAGATCCAATGGGAGTTTAGGCTGTTGGTGAGACTGGTTGATTCCCTATGTGTCACCTTGAATACCTCATTCAAATGGTTCCTAGGAATGCTAATATATTGGCAAGAGATGGGGTTCGGAGGGAAATGTTAAAATGGGGCTGCCCAGGGCTGGGTTGTAATTTGTAAAATATTATAGTACTTTTGTTGTGCTAAGTCTCTCTCTGTTGAGAGCTATTATATACTTTTTGGCCTGCTGCCCACCCTAATGAACAGTATGGTATTTTTTTAATGAAATCTATTCAGTCAGTTATCAAAAAAAAAAGTTGGGCACACAACAGAGAACATTCTTATCCATCATAATTTATATTTCATTCTTTTCCATGTAAGTAGTTATATGCATATGGAATTACAGAAATATGTTGGTTGCAGGTTTTATTGTTGATGGCATCAGCTTTGAATATGCCAATGCCCAAACCAGCTCCTGATGGTGTGATTGATACGTTACCAGAGAACCTGCGTGCAAAACAGCAGTGTATTGCCGAAATAACTGAGATGATCCATGTCAGTTTATTGGAATTATGCTTTATTTGTGTATGCTTGTCATGATTGTTGGAGTACCAACATTATATAACTGAAAATTTTGATCTTGTAGTGTTGCTTATTAYAAGGTCTTTCTCTCTGTCCATGTAATACGTTTTACTGGTCAACTTACCTTTTTGTTTCAAACTGTCCAGTTGATGAAACACCTCTTGGTGTGACATATTTAGAAATTTATGGATAAATTGTTCTAAACTTCTAATGTTCTTATGTTGACTTGATGGGATGGACTATTTTTCTGGATAATTCCCTGTTTTCAGTTACTACCCAAAAAGGATGAATGGTTTTGCTAAGATCATCTAGGTAGGGCAACTATATTTCTGCCATTTGTTCAAGAACTACTATACTTATTTATTTATTTAAATTTTTTTTGGGGGGGAGGTCTTTTTTAAACAAATCAAAATACCTTTATCACATGTAGTAGCCAGAATCGACTTTTCTTGTAATGGTCATGCTCTTCCTCACTCTTTAATCTCTCCATTCTATCTTTATTATTATAAGATTGTAATATGTAAAAACAAGAAGCCGTGCTCCAAAAACATGCCCCCAGCTAGTGTCAGACTCTCTCTCTCTAATTATCCATCCATGTATCTCCAAATGAATATTATACGCATTGATCTACAGGTTTTCCTTTTGTGTGCATGCATATTACATTGCCAGGTCACCATATAGTTTAAATACAGTATATGTTTTACTCTCCTGTTAATCTCTTTCTTATTTACAGAACAACTTTCCAACTAATTTGTTCCACACAGGTGGCAAGCCTTCTTCATGATGACGTCTTGGATGATGCAGAAACAAGGCGTGGTATTACTTCATTAAATTTTGCAATGGGAAATAAGGTATATTTCCTTTACTTTCTTTTTTTTTTTTTGCTTCAGGTGTGTATTTTCCTGGGTGTATTCCTTATCACCCTGTTGTGTTCTCTTTTCCCTTCTTCATCTATAAAGTTTATTTTTATTTATCTTAAAAGAAAAGAATAAATGGACATATTTTTTTTGATTAGTTTGAAAAGTGTCTTTTATATATATATATTATGGATTCACATATTTGTAATGGTTTATCAACTTCTGAATTGCCTTTTACTGTTTGTAGACTAGTAATGGTCTATAACTTTTAAAATAAACAAAAAAATCTTTTCAAATACCCAATGCCTTGGTTTGCATAGTGGCTGGGCATGTTTAACATCAGTTTAGCTACTTGAAGTAATGCAACTGGGAGAGAAATAAACAGATTGAAAGTTTCACATGCTTGAATTGTTGAGTGGTTGAATATGTTTTATATGTTTTGTTTGCTTTTATTTCTATTTTTTAACTTCGAATGTGTGTTATATGTTCTTTTTTTAGTATTAACGGTACAGATTTAATAATAAGAAAGTAGAAATCTTCTGAAACAAAAAACTGTAAAAGAAAAAGGAAGAAATGAAGTGTTTTTGTGAAAGAAGAGAAGAAGAGAAAGAGTGAAGAAAGGAAGAGAAGGCAAAAACTGATCTGGCCGCTCTCTCCCATTAGTATTTGTACTAAAAATAAAAACTATGTACAATGACTTGTATCCCCTATAAGGGCGGCTGATACAAAAGCTCAATAAAAACATAAAAACACTGCTCTAAAAGCTCCCAAATAATATGCTGTGGTCCCCACTTCCTAACTAAACAAATAATAAATAAAATCAAGTAACAAAACTGTAAAAGTCCTCAACAAACAAAAGTATACAATATGAAGAGCTGACCCTTAGAGGTGGTTAGCCACAGTTAACCATATCTAAATAGCCCATAACAGAAACTTTACAATTCCCTCCTTTGGGTTAGTAGTCCCTAATATATTTGATTATTCAGTGCCCCTTGTTTTGCTAGACTTATCTACCAAAGCATTGGCAGGCCTCAGAACCCAAACTGTAGCTCTTAAGTTGTTCAGCATATCTTTCACCTTCATGTTTATGTATATTAATGTGAGCCAATAGGCTTTTTAAAACATTTAGTTTCTTTTAGAATTCAAGTTTGCATAATTTCTGTATTAATTTTATTGTTTGTTTTTTCCAATTTTATTTTTTATTTTTTTGATTTTTCAAAATATTTTTCTGCACTGCTTCGAAATGGCACGTGAGGTCCTTGTGCTTTTAAAGGATTTGTGGCCCCACCCTTGTATACAAGTATATGCGGGAATTAATGATCAGTCCCGTTGTCTAACTCCATATGCTTATTACTGAATGGAAATAATGAACTTCTCATTATTAAAATATACTGCCAAGCCCCTGCTCTATAAAATCAGATGTTTCCATGCCTGATTTCATTCATCCAGTCCTACTAACGTCATTATCAATGCAACAACATTTCAAATTTCAAACTAGCCAGCTTAAATGAGTGAATAGGGAGGCTGTTTTTTGGGCTAGTTTTTAATATTTTTCTTTGCATTCCCTGTGTTTTCTGTTTTTGGGGAGCTAAGTTATTTTATCTCCCCCTTTGTATACTTATTCCCTCTCTTCTCTTAATTTAATGAAAATGATGTTATTGATCAAAAAAAAAAAATGAGTACCAATAATTTGGCCTGCTGTGTGGACCAAATCAGATTTTTATTACTACCAGTAATAAAGAAGAAATTGAAAGCGTATTTAAAGTAAATGACAAAACCATTGACCAGTCTAAGGGGGTTTAGGGATAGGGAACATAGTGTTGAAGAATGTAGCCATTCTAGGGAAGTGGCTATGGAGATGGCCCCGAGAGAGAGAGAGAGATTATGGCATGAGGTGGTGGCAAGCATTCATGGTTATGTAGGAAATGGTTGGGATTCCGGGATATCTCGCTGAGCTACCCTTACTACACATTGGAAGGCTATATATGGTATTCTCCCTCGCTTCCTCAGATTCATCAGGTATGATGCTAGTTCTGGTAATGCTATTATGATTTGGGAGGATATTTGGGTGGGTACTCAACTCCTCAAAGATTGTTTCCCCTCGCTCTATTCCCTTTCCCTTCACAAACATGAGTCAGTTGAAACTTTTTCTCCCGAGCCCGTTAAACCCCTTATCTTTAAACTGGGACTTTGGGTTTCGTAGAGGGTTAAGGGATGGTGAGTCGAGTTGTGTTATTGAGCTAATTCATTTACTAGAATCTGTTTGCTTGGACCCCACTTCTTCTGATCAAAGGGTTTGGACTCCTCTTCCAAAAGGTACTTTTACTTGC